AAAAATCGGATAGTAGTACCCTTTGGTAGCTGTGGTTCATCAACACCTATCGGACGATTATATTTTACCGATGGCTTGGAATATATCCGATCAAGTTTTGTGGCATCATTAGGGCTCATTCCAATTAATCGAGTAGGGTATTATTCATATTATCAACAATCCTCCTTGCGAATCGTTCACATTCTCTACAGCGTTTGCCAGTAGGTAAGAGAAACTCTACAACATACTGATTTTTAAAAACTTTTAATTCAAATAATCCAGCATAACGGTCAACCATAGCGAAGCTTGTATGTCTGAAACGTGCTATAATTCTTCGAATTTCAACACTGTGTTCGTCCATTGATAAAGTCACGTATCCCATAAACTCAGTGCCTTTATCGCATTGTAGTTTTCGAGGCCAGTTAAGGGGATTGTTAGGGTTACCATATATACTCTTAAAAGCTTCTGCGACTTCTGCACTACTTTTTGACGTTAAAAAAACGAAATCTTTATACCTAGTCACGCAGTCTATAACCAATAATACATAGTAAAAGATTAGACCATCATCTAATAAATCTATATTCACATCATCATATGGTATTTCGATCAAATCACACTGATGTACAGTATTCGGTTTTGTGATTCTAGAATAGCTAACATAAGGTATATGCTTTGGTGAAGGACAAAAAATTTGATACATTGCCTGCCTATCAAGCCATTTTTTTACATCAGTAAATGAAAAGCTGTAGTCGGCTTTTTTACAAGCATCCCATAATCTCTTAATATTTTGGTAAAGGCTTTCAGGTTGATAATACAGCTTCTGTAAGGCAAGATTTCGGTCAAGATCATGCGCTTTTTGAGGATCAATATAAATCAAGGGTTCTCCCATTCCGAATCTCTTTTATAATAATGAAAAAAAAAGAATGACATTTCACAGACCTAATCCAAGGCAGAGAAAAACATGTGAAGAGTATAAAGCCGAGTTGGAGGAGGATAACTATCATCTTCGAGATGCATTACAGACAGAGGTAGAAAACAATCGCCTGAATGAGAAACAGTTCAACCAACTGGAGCGTGAATATAGCCGGTGTGAGCAGGAAATCCAAGATCTCAATAAAGACATAGAGCGTCTTGAGAATGCTTCAGAAGAAGAGATAGCAGAGCTAAGATCCGAAATCTCCAGTCTAAAAAGTCAGCTATATCAAGC